CACTGCGCTGCACTGCGCTGCACTGCGCTGCACTGCGCTGCACTGCGGGTCCGCGTCAACAGCATCGGTTGTTCTTTCCGCGGTCTCTGCTGCCGCCGAGTGGACAATCTGTGGAACTGCGGTCGTCTCTGGTGCCGCAGGCAGCAAGGCGCATGCGCATAGCCAGACGGAAGTGACGTACATACGTGCGCGTCGCTCTGCGCAGCTAATCCATCAATCTTTATCATACTTAGTTATCCAGGCAACAGTGCGCATGCGCCCGGAATTCTCTATGGAAGGACAGCTTGTTCCCCCCTCTGATGGAGGCAGCTTCTCAGCTGCCCTTCCCTGGTCTTTCTGCAGCTGGACAGATAGCCCAGAAGGGCACGGGGTACGCAGACCCTCCCCGGCCAGCTACAGCAGTCGCTCCTGCCAGCTCTCCCTTTCCCCCCGACCATTCCCATTTCGCAGGCTGGAGCCCTGTGTGGCAGCGGAGGAGAGCTGCAGGCAGAAGGAAAACAGGGTGCTGGGATTCCTCCAGCTCGCTGCCAGCTGTCTTCTCTGACATTTTGGGAGTGGGCAGGGGACTGTGGGAGCACCCTCAAGGCTCTGAGCAGGAGGGAAGGAAGCAAAGATGCAGCTGCAGGCAGCGGGCTCTGAGCTGGAGCAGTGGGGCCGGGCACGGCTGCACAGCTCACAGTCTGGGCACACAGAGCAAGTTTGTCCAGCTGAGAGCTGCACAGGGCTGTCCTTATCAAGCACTCCCCCATCCCACAGGTCTGCAGCGACTGCATCAGTTGCTTGAGCTCTTCCCACTGCAGGAGCTCAGAACTGACAAGAACCCTGACCCTGATCCGCACACAGATACACACCTGATACAGAATCTGGCACTTGACAGTCCTCCCAGAACTTCTTGCTGCTTTTTAGGCTGCTCTACAGCTATTCTGTCTTTTCTGCTGCTGTTCTCAGCTGATGATCCTTAAACCACAATTTTCAATGACATTGGATCAGACCGCATACTATCACTGATTTTAAAAAAAATCAACAAGTACAGTATTATGTGTGGATAACAAACTCCTACATGCTTAAAGACCAATAGCAGCTCCTCATCCTGGAGTGTCACCATCACCCCCAGGTTGGGCTGACACTGCTCATCTGCCCTGCAGCGCTGCTCAAACTCCTGGCACAGCCTGCCACCTCCCTGTATCACATTCACGTGTCACCTCCTCTCACCTCTGTAGTTCTGAACCCACACGTCAACCCCATGTCCCCCCATGTCCTTGTGTCCCCATATGCCCTCTCATGTCCCCTGAAGTCCCCTCACATCCCCTGCCCCACTTTACTCCATGCCGATGTCATTGTGGGGTTGAGGACAGGGACAGGGATGCCTCTGGGGTGCATGGAGTCCTGGGAGAAGTTGATGGCCACGTGCAGTGGGGTGATGGTGTCAGTGCATGGCTGTGACAGTGGGGTGGGGGTCATTGCCCCCAAAATGGGGCTTGTGCCCCATGCATGTGGGCAAGTTGTACGGGGAGTGCTTTCTGGAGATGATTTGTCTTTTCTCCAAATCTGCAGTGACTTCAGCAATTTCTCATCGAGCCGCAGTGGAAATGGGACACTGCAATACATGAATGATCTCTGACTCGAGGAGCGCAGGGGCTGCACGAAGGACGCACTGCAGCCTCCCTGTTTCTTTGGGTTTGGGATTGGTGTTTGAGCCAAAAGGCCACACACTGCCATACAGGCAGGCCAGGTTCACCCACTGAGGACATCAAACCCTCTATTAATTTCACAATGGTCTTTAATTGCTGTGCGAGTAGATGACACGTTTCTCACAGGGGAGCCGTAAGATGACCCTGGCACTTTGGCAGACAGCACTCACTCCATTCACACCAGTAATCTCAGCCCTTTTGCTGCACATGCAGCTTCTCAGCACCTCGCTGTATCAGTATTGAAATCTGTGCTCCCCTATTTGTTAGAAATTTCACCAATTGCCATTGAGGATAGACAGACTGGAATCAAAATATGTGGATCATCCTAGCTTGTCCACTGATAAACCCCCCCTTGCCAGACAGGCAGACCCAATTGGCTGCCAGTCATTACTTTTTTTTTCTGGGAACTATGAGATCACAGCCTGAAGCAGTGATGGAGCACCTGGTGAGGGGTGCAGCCCTGCAAGCACAGGTGGAAGCAATGCACCTGTGGGACCAGATGGGGCTAAGCCTGGCTCCACCCCTCCATCACATCATTTTAAGGGCTGGAAGCCCCAAAGGCTGTGTTTCCTCCTGGAGATTGTTGGGTGAGCTGTGGTTCTTGGAAAGAGGTAAGTGATTTTTTTATTTTTATTTTTATTTATTTATTTATTTATTTTCCTCCTTTATTGCAGGGTTTTGCTCTCCCCCTTTCTATGGGGATTGTATGCTGGCTTAGAATAGCTATCTCTGCTAGGCCTCTGCGTATGATGTCTTCTAATCGTTCTCTGAGGGGAGCAAAGGGGTTATCTGCCTTTCTGTGATCTGGTAATGGTGGATCTGATGTTTGTTCCTTTCTTTTGCTTTTGCCTGTTTCTGGAATGCTTCAATCAGCCCCAAGGTAATGCTGGTTGGCTGACTGAGCAGTGCAACTCTGGAAATGCCTGGAGCTAATGCACCTTTCCTTAAAGGGATTCTGTGTTCTTTAGGTTTCCTTTGCAAATATTTTTAAGCTCAATACTTTCTTGTGAAGTCTCTGTTTCCTCTTCCATGATTCTCATTGCATAATTTCCAACCTTAAACTCCAAACTTTGTTTGTCTGCTACCACATTGTCCCAATGCATTTTATGATATGTACCCTCTGCATTTCCCTCCTCATTCCCTCTGTGTCCTTGTGTCCCACTTGTGTCTTTGTGTCCTTTCTGTGTCCTCTCCCCATGTCCCATCAGTGTCTCCTGTGCTATGTAATAATTCCACCCGTGCTGAGTATTGTTTAAGGGCACATATTTAAATTATGTTCTGTGTCTCTTTTGGATCTCGTTCTGCTTTGCTGCACACATCTGTCAGATTGACTCTGGGTTTTTCATTACCTCGGACACTGGCTGAAAAAAAGAAGAATAAAAATCACGACAACGTCAATTTTCTAGTTATTATTTATTATCATTTATTGACAGATATTCATAAGTACTGAGCGCAGGTTTGGTGGCTTTGTCGAAGTTTTCCTCGTTTTCTTCGTCGTCTCCCTTCCCCCAAATTTATTTTCTGTGTTTTCACACATTCGAATTTCACTTCGCGGTCTCTGCTGCCCTCGTGTGGCTAATCGGCAAAACTGCAGCAAAATTTATTCCACGGTCTTGGCTGTCATCGTGTGGCCAATAGGCGGAAATGCGAAGAAGTTTTTCCCGCGATCTCTGCCGCCCCCGCATAACCAATCGGTGCCCAACAACGAGCATGCAAAAAACAGATGAGTTTCGCACCAAAAAGAGTCCATGCATGCGCACCGCGGCGAGGGAGCTGGCGCATGCGCACCGCGGCGAG